TGCATGCAAAACAACAACAAAAAAAGTACACAACAAAAACTCTTACAGATTTTTATTCCGCTACTTATAAATTATTTGACCTACTAAACACTCATATCCAATTTCGCTCTTATTTTAGGATTTTCCATCATTGCAACTTGACAGACAGGCTACATTTGGTCTGAAATCATCACTTTACAATCATCTAGGCCGGGTTAGTAATACACACACGTGCCACCATTGGCACATGAGCTTTAATAACTAGAGCGATTAACATTATTTTTTTTTTTTTTTTTTATTAAAATAAAATAAAATGCATCTTTGTATCAATAATGTGAAGTGTAAATGTAGCTAAAAAGATGCAAAAGTCGTTGCAAGAAAAGGAAGATACGAAAAATATCAATCAAATCATGTTTGCGTATGAAAGAAAAAAAGACATTCATCACTTTCCCTTGCTTTATATGTGGCAAAATCCAATATTTATATAATAAAGTTCAATCTCATTTCAGGTTCTAGTTTAAAAACAACATATCAGAACTCTAAAGTCAACTCAAGTCAACTATTGATGCGTTTGATGATAAAGAACCTTGTTACTCTTGAACTCAGTTGAAAGACTCAATTAAAAATGAAACCTTGGATATATATTTGAACAATTCAGAAAATGTTTCTGTAAAGGTGCACAGATTTATATGAAACACCTCTGTGTATCAGTGCTGATCCAGAATTTAGTCTCTGTTAGGATGTGTGAAACCTAAATCAGCACTCTGACTTTGAAAAGTTTACAGGTCTCATAGAAACAGCTCTTTTGTTATTGAGAGCGAGTTATCTGGAAGTGCCTGTAAGGCTAGAGAGTTTTTGATGGAATCACTACTAAAAAGAGAGTCCACAAACACAACAACTTTCGTTAGTGTAGAGAAATCTGACAGAGCTTATATAGTCGCACACACACTTTCACACACATGCCCATATGCACCTCCTCACTCCACTGGTGAGGGATTTTTCCATTTGCACCTCTCCTACCCCTATAGTGCTTCACAAATCAGAGCGACAGACAACAACTCTCCTCCACCCACAGCCCCGCCACTCAGCATGATCCACCTCTCTCACTCTCTTTCTCTCTCTGGGGAACACCAGACTCATGCATAAACAAGACCTTCCCTTTATCCTCTCGCTGTAAGCCTAGAGGAGAAAACTCAATTTGTATACGTGTTTTCAGAGAAAAAGACGAATCTCCTTGCGTTGTGATAATCCCTGCCCAACACGCAATGAGCTTTTCTGTCTCTTTTTTCTTCTATATCTGCTTTGTATGGTTTGCAGGTTTGTGGGATTGAAGCAACATGTGATGAATAGGCCAAAGGACAGACATATGAATAGATATGAGACATACAGTATTATTACTCCTGGATCCGTCATATATAAAACAGAAAACAATATCTACTATTGTAAATCACAGATTCTCAGGTGTGGTTTAAGTGTGCAGATACTTATACTGAGACTTGGTGCTCATATGAGAAATGCAAGTTTGAGTTCAGCTTGCAACATGATCTGCTCCCATTTTTCTATCCCGTTCCCTGGAATTATCCACTCATTCTCCAATATACCCTTCTACAAAATCATGCAAAGCATGGAAAATTGAAAGAGTGGAGGGGGAGAAAGAGTTTGTATGAGCCTTGGTGCATATACAAGAAATGAAAGTTCGAGTTAAAACTGCAACATGTTCCAATCCCGTTCCAGCTCACTTTTCCAACAATTTTCTGCTCATTCGCCCCTATACCCGTCTAAAAATTACACAAACACTTAATAAATGAGTCTAGAGAAGCCTCCAATCACATTCTCTAACATTTTCTCTCAGTCTCACTATACAAAAAAAAAGGTAAAAGCGCAAAAAAAATTGGAGAGTTTGGGGAGAAAAGGGTTTTATGCGTTTTGGTGCACATACAAGTGCTGATAGTTTGAGTTCAGCCTGCAACATGCTCCAATTCTCCCCATTCTCCACTATATCTGGCTAAAAATTATCAAAAAGCCATTAAAAGAGTGGGGAGTGACAGAGGTGAATTTGCAAGAAAGGCAAGTTCAGCCTGCAACATGCTCCAATCACCTTCTAATTAATTTTCCTCTCATTCTTCACTAAACCCACCTAAAATATTATGGAAAAGCATAAAAGAAATGGAGAAAGAAGAAACATTTTATATTAGCCTTGGTGCACATACCAGTGCTACAAGATCGAGTTCAACCTGCAACATGCTCAAATCCCATTCATCCCATTTTCTATTATTTCATATAAATATACTATATATTTCATATACTTTTTCACTATATCACCTAAAAAAAAAATCACAAATCTGGAAAGAGAGAAAGAGGTCATCTGAGCCTTGGTGTATATTTGAGTGCTGCAAGTTCAATTTCAGCCTGCAATATGCTTCAATCCAATTCACCTCTCATTGTACCTATAATATTCTGCTCATTCTCTAAAAAATTATGCAAAACCCCCAAAAAATTTAAAGTAAAGGGAGAAAGAGTTCATATGAGTCTTGGTGAACATATGAGTGCTGCAAGTTTGAATTTTGCCTGAAACATGCTCCAATCCCATTCCCCCTCATTTACCCACACTTTTCCTTTCATTCTCCACCATACCTGTCTGAAAAATATGCAAAACCAGGACAGAAAGAAAGAGGAGAGCACTGAAGCAGTAATGAACTCTTCAGAAAGAAGTTGAGGATTAATTGATCTGTAGGAGTCGTGCTGGTGGAGAGAAAGCTGTAATTAAGCTACAGAGGCTCTGAATGCAGTTTTATAATGAGTGCTACAAACACACACACACGTTCACTCAGAGACGTTCCACATGACATTGCACACGCACATAATTGCAGTCTCACGGAACTCTGACAAAGCTGTTTGCTCCAAGACTGGTGAAGCGCTATTTTATTTACAGCAGATGTTGAAATTTTATCATTTCATATCACTGGAAAGCGGTAAAGTGCTAGCATACTCAATAGATCAATTCCTCATGTACTTGCAACCCTACTGGCGAACATTGCACTGCAGAGGCACAGATGTTTTAACATCTGTACTGTTTAGCCTTGCACAGTGACTGAATTGTGTCAACAACAAAAAATATATTCTACTAAATGTCTGTGTATATGTGACCTACCAATGGTATTAAACCTGTGTATATGTGACCTGTCAATGGTATTAAAGGACAGCGAAGGTTGTTCTGAGAAGGCATTATACTAACTGCAGGATCTGCTTATTTATGGAGCATTTTCTTTACAACCATTCAGATAGATCAGACTCATCACAATGCTTCAGTCTTGAATGTCTGTGCGACTGAAAACTAAATTAAATTAAGAAACATTCCTGTGTCGGCTTCAATATATTGTCATTTTTCTAATTTATTCCCTAAGAAATCCATGAATGGCCCCTCTGCCCACGCAATGAAACAATGACTTTCAACTCTCTCCTCCCTCCCTCTACCGAGTTGACTTATTCTGTCTGCTAAATTATTTCATTCCTTCAATCTCCTCTCGTCCTTTCAGCCGACAGACACAGCGCCCGTATTGTGACGGCACAAATGAACAGTGGAAATTTCATCTCCTATTTGGTGGTGTGGTGTGCTCTACCAATCAAATGTTCTCCTTCTTTCACTCGTGAAGCATTTGAAAGAACACCATAAGAGTCTTAGAAGCCCATTTACTTCCTTATCTCATTAATCTCCACATCCACCTTGCTCTTTTTGCACCTGACGGGTCGACTCTGATTGGCTATCAATTGAAATTCTACTTGAAGAGCTGTGGGGCAGAGAAAAAAATGAAGTTGGTGTGTTTTGCGAACTTGCCACACCTCAAGAATTTTTCATTCCAAACCAATATCTTTAAAGGGATAGTTCACAAAAAAAAAAATAATGTCACTAATAACGCACCCTGATGTTGTTTCAAACCTGTATGTTATGAACTATGGAGACGGGGGAAAAATTCACACACAAAAAAAAGGAGTGTGTCTTTTTTGTGTCTTATTACTCTTGAATCTAGGATAGCGTGATCATATACTGTAGCGCAGCCGAAGGATTACAGAAAAAAAAACGATGCTGCATTAATTGGGTTAAATATTTTTAACGTGTTAAAATGAGAAAAAAAAGTTAATCGCTTTACTTTTGAGAGCCCTATAAATATATATATGAAATAAACTGCATAATAAATAAACTGCAAAATAATAATCAAATCAAACAATTAAACAGTAAAATAACTAAACTGCAAAATAAATGAACTACAAAATAAATGAACTGCAAAAAAAAAATGTGAATAAATAAATAATTATACAGAAATGTAATAAAACTGCAAAAGAAATAAACTGAAAAATAAAATGTGAATCTACAAATAATAAATAGACAGAAAAAAAATCCAAATAAACAGTCACAAAAGCTTAAATACACAGCTGGAGAGTATGTCCTGTGCTTTATTTCCCTTGTTTTAAACTTGGGGGTTGTACTGAAGGTGTATTAAACTTTTTGTCAAGAAAACAACCTGTCAGTACTTCCGAATGGTGTGAGAAGCATCTGCCTCTCACCCCTCTCCCTCTATGTGTCCTTCACTTTTTTTGTCTTAACACCTTGTGCTCCCTCTCGATCATTTCACAAAGTGTGCGTCTCACAGGAATTGCTTGAGAAAAAAAAAGTAAAAAGAAAAACAAGAAGGGACATACAACTGTCAAGCACCGCTGATTGAAACTGCAAGGTCATTTTCAAGAGTGAGAGAGGAGGGGAGAGAAAGAGATGCTCTCTGGCATGTCTGTCTCACTCCAGCGGGAAGTGTGTGTATGTGTCTGTAGCACAGAGACGCTGAACAAAAGAAGCTCTAACAGGTGGATGATACATAGCTAAGCGACTCTTCACCCTGATGACTTCAGGGCCTCCTCTTCATCATCGCTCTATTCACTCCTTCCATCCTATTCACACTGCACCTGCCGTCCCCCATGCCTCATTCTCCGGCCCCTTCATTCAGGCTCCCCCCGGTCCCATGGCTTACCTTGCAGCTCCCCACTTTTGCTGTAGAGTTCCCTCCGCTGCTCTCGCAGGTACGCGCTCATGCTAATGGCGTGGGAAGACGACTCAAACCTGCAAAAGGAGTTGTCAAAGATCATTTATTAAAGCAGGTCAAGGGTTTTCGGTTTAAGTTAACCTGAAATCTGATGGATCTGATGGATTGTAAACGTAAGCGCAAGGAGAAAATGGTCTCCCCTGAGGCACTTAACCCGGATTTTTCGTGTGGTCCTTGTCTGCTTAAAACCTTTCAATTCCAATTCAATTCCTGAATCAACATGCACGAACAAACTTACTTGAATAGAGACTGTTTGGGTCGTTGAGGTTTCTTCTTGGAGAAGAACGCTCCGAAGTCTCCGCCGGTGCTGGCGTAGGACAGCTGGGCAGAAGGCTCTGCAGCGCTACGGGTGTTTTTGACGTCCAGGTAGTCCATTAGCAGCACCTGAGAGAGCATAAGAGCAGATTGTTGAGTGACATGCAATATTCAAATGTTTATTCAGTCATACATTACAGTAAACAACCAAATTCATTTAGACTTTTTGACACTTTAAGCAGCTGTTCCAATACATGCACTTATGATAAACAGTTTTTATTAGTGCACTTGCTGGCAACCCTGCATTTTGTAAACACAAGCAAACAGGCCAAAAGACACCCAAATGAGATGATTCATTTGTGAAAAGCCAGCTGTATATTTTCATGCACATTTATACTGTGAGTAAAAGCATGATATAGCCTACATACAATGTTATTGAATATATTATTATCATAATTTAAATAATTTAATATGTATTCATCTGTATCTGCATATCATTTCTGCCCACTATTAGACTAATGATGTACTTTTTACAGTACAGTACGGTTCAAAAGTTTGGGGTCGGTAAGACATTTTTATGTTCTTTTAAAGAAGTCTCTAATGTTTACCAAGGCTGCATTTATTTGATAAAAAAAACAACCCAAAAAACATACATTTTTCTTTAACATATTTTAAATATAATAATTTTAGGTATATAAATATATTAATACATTCCTGTGATGGCAAAGCTGAATTTTTAGCAGTCATTACTCCAGTGTCGCATGATCCTTCAGAAATCATTCTAATATGCTGATTTGGTCTTTAAGAAAAATGTATTATCATTAATATCAATGTTGAAAACAGTGGTGCTGCTTAATATTTTTGTGGAAACTGTCATACTGTCATAATTCAATGCATCCTTGCTGAATTTTTTTTAAAGTATTAATTTCTATCCAAAAAAAAAAAAAAAAAACTCTTGCGGACCCCAAACCTTTGAACGGAATTATATATATATTTAAAAAAACACTATACAGCTGTAAGACTGGAAAAACTGGAAGAATGGAAGAGAGGGCAACTCTCTGAACTCTCTTGCTATCACCATTCGAGACGCAAGTTTCACGTCAGTATCATCCTAATCTACATCTCTTTCCCTTGACCCCCCATTACCACGTTCCTTCTCTCCCTCATGCCGAGATCTAATTTCTAATGTCAGGTTCCCATCTTTTCTCTTTATTCCAGAGCATTTGATGTTTTGTATTTATTATCTTTGAACTGACTATGTAACTGACATGATACATTTACCTGACATAATCAATTGTTACATTTAATTCTATTCTTACTTACTCTGAAATTATTAACTTTAGTAGATTACGTTGTATCCATTGTTACCGCAAATCTGCATCAGATTAGTAACGGACTAACGTCCAGTTTTGAGTGGAGCATAGGGCACACCAACTGCGATTTTAGAGTTCTGGCTAATATTTGGCACTAATTCAAGTGCACTTGGGATGTAAAGACAAAAAGGGAATTTCCGTTTAGGACAGCAAACTGCTGATCGACCAACCTAAATAGGGTGAGTCTTACCTCTGTTTAATATAATGTTACTTTAGTCAAGTGTACGTGGGTAACCATGGCATGACCAAACCAAAGCTACTATCAGAGAAGTCATTTTGGTTGGCTTTAATTCAAGTGTATACAACCAAGGGAGCTATACAAAATATCTTAGATTGAGTAAGCGTGAATGTGACCGCCTAAAGTATTAGCCAATTACCTCTGTTTAGTGACCCGAAACTGGCGAGTTTGTGATCGTGGGCCTGCATAATATTAACGGCCGGTGCGAGGACCCTGTGCGACTTTGGCACCCGAATGAACGATTAATAAGGGCCCGTTCACATATCGCGTCTTTTGCGCGCTCAAGTTCATTATTAGGCGCGATATGTGAACGCAGCCTAAGAGTAAAGAGTTAAACAGAACAATCAAATGTATTGCTAAACTATTATATAAATGACCAATAACAAATTGGCATTCCAACCTAAATTCGAGATCGTGATAAAATGGAGTCAGATAAAAGTTTAGTTGAAATTAAATTACTTTGCCACGCGGAAAAGACAGTAACACGCGCAGTAAACCTTCACCCGCTTATCGGAAACTGTCGTTGGACCGATTGGGCAGGCCTTACACAGCGCTTTATACACAAAATATTGTTCAAACCAGTTTAAACATAAACTTATACAGTCCTTAAATACACTACAATAAAATATGTAGTTAAGTTATGCATATCCTTAGTCTAGAATGACTTAACTGGATCAGTCTGAACGAATGTTTCTAGGCTTGTCTCAGGCCCACATCTTTCCAGTCTGTCTGTGTGACTTCAAACGCTTACCCATGTCCGCCAGCAAATTCCCATTAACTCTGATTAAAACTGCACATCCGAGTTCATGAATATCCCATTCAACACGATCCATAACCATTAAGAGAGGTTCAAACAGCTGCAAGAGTACTGAAAAAGAAGTTCAAGTAAACTTTTCCACAAATTAGCAAGCCGTTTTCCAATGGCTCCATAATTTAGTGAAGCAATTTGCCTGGTCTATTTCTAAATCCCAGCTGCAAAACAGTCCAAAGTGGAGATGGAATTAGGAAAGGACAGATGGAACTACATCTGACTGATAATAGCATAATTAAACAGTGATAAGAAGGGAACGGTCTATGAGAGGAGGGGAAGCCTCATCAACAGCCATTCCTCAACCCAGAGACAAGTCCAATCCGGCCAGCCCGTTACATTCCTGTCAGATTATTAATTACTAATGCCCATCTGATCCAGTGATGGAGCGGGTCTCGCATGTAGACCCCAAACTTAATTAAATGCCAGCGTTTGCCTGATGAAGGAGTCTGGACCCACTTCAGTGACCTCAGAGAAGGGAACATGGAACTTTTAAGGCAATTAACCATGGAGGATGAATGGAGGACGGGAGACAGAGAGAGAAATATCATGAAGAAAACAGTAAACACAGGAAAGGAGACAGATAGAGAGAGAGATTAGAAAGTGATCAGTCAGCAGATTCATCCCAGCAAAGCTAATAACAAAAATGAACGGGCCATTCCTTCAGTACAATGCAGTAAATGTTTAAGTCCCCCTCATATGGATCTTATTTTATTTGCTGTACGCTTTATTAGCCATTCAATGTGCCATAGAATAGAAATTTGTATTTGGAACTGGCATAAAAACTAACATTAAATAATAAGAAGACGAGAGAAAAAGAACAATGTCTAAAAGATAGAAAGATTGTTTTAATAGTTAAGTAATTATAGTTTTGTGCCTGTGTCAATATTGTTCATTTTTTGTAATATCCTTTAAATATGTTTTAGTGCGAGAGTAACAGCAGCAGTGTAGTTTTTTTTTTAATGGTTTATGGTACTGCAAGTAGATGAAAATATTTGTTGCACGACATTGAACAGATAAACACAAGAAGATGAAGGGAGGAAAACTTGAAGACAGAACTCATTATACCACCACCAGAGCCAGCAAGGTCACTTTCACTAAAGCGTCTCATGCCTCATCAGAAGTGTCTTCGTCCCCATTATAATGCGGCTTATTAGAGCAGCCTTCGTTTTTTTCCGTAACAACAGGGATGAAGCGTGGGCAGCAGCAGTGCTGTGTCCATTTTAAAACACCAAACAAGTAGGTGGAAACAACAGAGGCGGCTCCGCCAACAACACAAAGAACTCTCGAATGAGTCTGGCAATAAAACATGCAGAACAAACTGCTGATCTACAGCAGGAACGTCTAAAAGCACCACGTCAAACAGATACAAAGAGCGTCCCACTTATGATTTATGCCGCCCATGGCTGGACACATACTAACAAAAGACCTGTTTTACATTGCAGTTTTAGAGCCAGAATATACGTGGTCATTTCAGTGTTAATTTAAACACCGATCTGTGTCTTCACGGAGAAAAACCTTTTCCTCGCAAATGACCTTGGGAAAACACTAAGGACGGGTCAAGATGATTGACTAGTGGGTTCTGAAATAGTAGTTTGATAGATTCCTAGTAAATGAATGATTATCATTGACTTTCCTCAGTAAACATCCTCCAGATGACCTTTTTCTGAGAAAAAGGGAGGACAAATACAAATTAAAATCACCCCACTTTGAGGACAAGTTACGTGATGGACACACTCTGGACCTTTCCATTTCCGAACGTTCATTTCACAAGCCCTCTTCTTTATTGGAGCCTTAAAGACTAGGTTGTTTTAACAGAAGGGGAAAAAAAATCAATATTCATGGCCTCTTCCAAGAAAAGACTAGCTTGAAAATGGGCTTGGGAAACAAGAGCCTGTGAGAAACAGCAAATGGCTTTTCACACCAGATAATAAACACAGAGCAGCACACTGGCTGGGTTTGTAATGTGCACGAATGCGTGTGTGTCAGTATAACCCACTGCCGTTACAAACAATTCTGCTTCCTTATGGCTCAAAACCATCACAAAGTTTAGCAAAGTGTTTATATACTGTCTGGAAAAGCAAGAGTTACTCTTCAGTGAACCTTAAAACCCAGCCCCTTGTCTTTGAGGACACATTCTCAATTTAATGAACAGTGAAAAGCAGCACTCATCCCCTCTATTAGCCACAAATCAAGCTAATTAAAGAAGAAAAACAGTGTTGAAGGATGTGCAGGTGAGCACCTGCTCTCTGATGATAGACGTTTGCAGAGTGCTTTAAGAAACGAGGGAAATAAACAAAGCTTCCCGCCTCTCGTCTACCCCTCTTGAGATTACAAAGAAAATGCTGTTTCCTCTCGTTCCATGGTTTCCAAGAAGGCATCTGACACCAAAACATGACCCTTTCTGAAGTGTTTTTTTTTTTTAAACGGGGTGCATGCACGACCTTCATAACTTTTAAAATCTCACAAAAACTACCAAACTGTGCAATTAAATGGTGCAATTAAAAATGGATGACCTGACTGACAATAAAACTATTATTATTGTGGAGGAGGGGCATAATGAACCAGGGGTTCTGTCACCATGGATACATTACCATTACTAGTAATATAAGCACACATAGGTGTACATATACACCTCAGTTAGAGATAAAAATGACTTGTTTATTAATTTATCTCTTTGTTGTCTTCTCTCCACATTCTGGCATGCTAT